TAATATTTACTGAGTAAAAAAAGGAAAACTCACAGGTTTTTCTTCAGAGCAACTAAATGAAAGGCAATGTTATTAACTAAAATCAGTAAGATTGAAGAAGCAGTAGAATAAGTTGGAGAAGGAACAATCTGGAGTTATATTTGGCTATTTTAAGTTTTAGATGTCTTCTAGATATCAGCATGGAAATATTAAGGGGAAAACTAAGTATCTGAATCTGGTCTTTAGGAAAGAGGTCTAGCCTGGAGAGAAGAATTTGGATGCCATCAGCATGTAGCCATGGAATTTACTGTAATTCATTATTTAAAAAAAAAAACCCACCAAAGAGTCCCTGAAGGACATTTAAAAAAAAAGATCTGATTATGGAAATACTGAAAACATGTTTATTAGTGAAAATATTTACTATCTTGAAGGAGTCATTATTCCCTAACATAATTTAAAATCTAAGACAATTGAACAGTTTCAATAAAAATTCTAAAATATATTTTCATAGAACTTGACAATGGATTCTGTAAGTTATATTAAAGAGCAAAACGGAGAACAGCAATGGTTTAAAGAAAAAAAACAAGGTAACTCAATTTGCCTAGAAGATACCAATATTTAATATAAAACCATAATTAAACTACACACCTCTCTGATACACACATACAAAAATTACAGCCAATTCCATTAATGAACATAGATGCAAAAATTCTCAACAAGATATTAGAAAACCAAATCCAACAATACATTAAAAGGATCATACACTACAAATAAGTGGGACTTATCTCAGGGATGCAAGTATGGTTCAATATCCACAAATAATTTAATGTACTATACCACATTAACAAACTGAATAAAAATCATATAATTATCTCAATAGATGCAGTAAGTTTTGACAAAGTTTAACATCTATTTAATGATAAAAAAAATCTAAACAAGGTGGGTATAGAGGGAACAAACCTCAAAATCATAAAAGCCCATATATGACAAGCTCACAGCTAACATTGCACTCAACAAATGAAAACCTGAAAGAATTTCCTTTAAGATCAGGAACAAGACAAGGATGCTCATTCTTGCCACTTTTAGTCAACATAGTATTGGAAGTAAGAATCACAGCATTCAGACAATCAATCAGTCAATCCAAACTGAAAGGCAGCAATTAAAACTGTCACTGCAGATGACAAGATACAACATACAGAAAATCCTAAGAGGCCACCAATAAACTACTGTAAGTCATCGATGAATTCAGTAAAGTTGCAGGATATAAAATTAATATACAGAAATCTGTTACATCTCCATACACTAACAAAAAACTACCAGAGAGAGAATTAAGAAAACAGTCTGATTTAAAATTGCATCAAAAAGAATAAAATACTTAGGAATAAATCTCACTAAGGAGGTGAAAGACCGGTACTTAGAAAACTATAAAACACTGATAAAAGAAATTGCAGATGACACAAACAGATGGAAAGATATACCACATTCATGGTATGGAAGAATTAATATTGTTAAAATGACCAAACTACCCAAGGCAAACTACAGGTTTAATGCAAACCCTATCAAAATATCAACAGTATTTTTCATAGAACTAGAATAAATACTTTTAAAGTCTGTGTAATTTTAAACATAAAAGACCTCAAATAGTCAACAAAATCTTGAGAAAGAAGAACAAAGCCAGAGGTATTATGCTCTCCTATTTCACACTAGTCTACAAAGCTACAGTAATAAAAAGTAAGGTACCTGCGCAAAAACAGACATATAGATCAATGAAACATAATAGCACAGTCCAGAAAAATGAACTCACACTAACATGGCAATTAATTTACAGCAAAAAAGGCAAAAATATACAGTGGAGGAAAGACACCCTCAATAAATGGTGTTAAGAAAACTGGACAACTTCCTGCAAAAGAATGAAACTGGACTATTTTCTCATACTATATACAAAACTAAATTCAAAATAATTAAAGACTTGAATGTAAGACCTGAAAACATAAAACTTCTAGGAAAATACATAGGCAGTATTCTCTTTGACATTTGTCTTAGCAATGTTTTGGGGGATATGTCTCCTCAGGCAAGGGAAACAAAAGCAAAAACAAACAAATGGCACTACATCAAACTTGAAAGCTTTTCACAGTGAAGTAAATAAGCAACAAAATGAGAAGACCGCCTACTTGATAAGAGAAGATATTTGCAAACAATATATTCAAAAGTGGTTAATATCCAAAATATACAAAGAACTCATACAACTCAATATCAAAAAAAAGAAAAAGAAAAGAAAAGAAAAGAAACAACCTGATTTAAAAATGAAAAAAGGACCTAAACAGATATTTTTCCAAAGAAGGCATACAGATGGCCAACAGGCACATGAAAAGGTGCTCAACACTGCTTATTATCAGGGAAATGCAAACTAAAACTACAGTGAGATACCACCTCACATCTGTCAGAATGGCTAGTATCCAAAAGATAACAAATAAAGTTTGTCAAGGATGTAGAGAAAACGGAAACCTCGCGTACTGCTGTGGGAACGTAAATTGCTGCATTCATAATGGAACAAAGTACGGAAGTTCCTAAAAAAATTAAAAATAGAATTATTATGCAATCCAGCAATTTTACTCCACAAACTAAATGAGTCACTGATATGAAATGTACAGTGTGGGGAATCTGACAATAATTATGTAATATGTTTGTATGATGATAGATGGTAACTAAACTTATTTTCATATTTTGAAATGATTATTTTGATTATTTTAGAAATGTATGGAAATATCAAATCCCTGTGTTGTGTACAGGAACTCATATAGTGTTGCACCTCGTTTATACTTCAGAAAACAAACAAATCATAGAAAAAGAGATCATACTTGTGGTTACTAAAGGGGGAGGTGAGGAGAGGAACAACTGGATAAAAGTAGTCAAAAGGCACAAACTTCCAGTTATAAGATAAGTGAGTACTAGGGATCTAATGTATAATGTGGTTAATATAATTAACACTGCTGTATGTTATATATGAAAGCTATTAAGAGAGTAAATCCTAAGAGTTCTCATCACTCAAAAAAAATATTTTTTCTCTTTCTTATTTTGTATCTATATGAGATGATGGATATTCACTAAACTAACTGTGGTCTAAGTCAAATCATTATGCTCTATGCCTTAAACTTGTACAGTGCTGTATGTCAATTATATCTCAATAAAAATGGAAGGAAAAAAAAAGATTATGCAACACTGTTGCAGGGATAAAGAAACAGGTGGCGGGAACAGAATAGAGATCCCAGAAACTTGTATAACTTGGATCATATTTCAATTTATCTATCAATCTATTTTTACTTAGACAATAATACTAAAGATTATACACATCTGGTATGTATGTATTATACATATATTAAATAAAACATGTATATGTATGCATGTGTTACGTATGTTATAACTTACATATATGTATACAAGTGTATACAAAACAACAAACATTTTAAAAGCATGTGTGTGTGTGTGAAAAATGGTACTACTTCACTTTAATTGGGAGAGGATTAACTATTTAAAACATGACGGTTGCCCAATGGTTAGCACTGCTTTAAAAAAAAATCTATACCTCATGTTAGACATAAAAATAAATTTCAGATGATATAAAGACCTAACCTTTATATATATCTGTTATGTTAAATAACAATACTTCAATCATTTAAAAAGGAAATGCAGAAACTATAGAACATTTTTGTTGGGAGAATTTCTTGACAAAGCACAAACTAGCAAACCATGGCACTGAGTAGATGCTAACAAATCTATTTAAGGAATTAAAGATGGATCATATGTTTACATTAAAGTTCTTAAAATCCTTTATGAGTAACATATCATTTTAAAAGTTAAAAGAAAACCCATTGTCAACAGAAGATATTTTTAACAAACCTAAGCAATGAAATTTAAAAATAAAAAACAACTAAATATTGGCAAAGGATTTAGGCAATTCACACAATTAGAAAGCCAGTTAATAAACATTTGGAAAAAAATTTTCTCTTGAGTAATTAGATAATTATAAATTGAAGCCAATGAGATAGATTGAATACTCTTCAGATTCACAAAACATTTTCAAATGTGACAGCATAAAGTGTTGCCCACAGTGTGGAGGAATGAGACCTCTCATAGACTGGTGAGGGGAGTGTAAGTGGCTCAGAGACCTCACTGCAGTGTTCTGTTTCCTGTGGGACCTCATAGAAAACTGAGCTCAGTTGGGAAATCTCAGTTGCAGGTTCTCTAGATTGCATGTCTTCAGCTACTTTTTATTTGTTAATCAAGATTAACTCAAAAGAAGCAGTCTCCCTTACTGTTTTCTCAACATTCTTAGAGATAAAATTGTCAGCAAGCCAAATCAGGAATTTAACACATACTCTACCTTAAGTAAAATCAGAATCTCAGCAGATGTCCTTGAAGCTTCTAATCATTATTATATTTTATATCCTTACAACATTTGTGGTTTTTATTAGCAAGTAATTATCCATGTTATTCTCATTCTAAGACAAGAAAGGTGTTTAAGATTGACCTTATGTGTATCCTGATGCATGGCTTTAACAAATTAGTCATCTAGAAATAATTCCCTAAAAATATGTTGCTCTCTGCATTTTTTAAAAAAAACTCCTAAATTGAAGACAGGACAATGTTTCTTGGTTTTTTTCAAATTCATGGCCTCATCTGATAAACGAGGGAAAAAGCCATTCCTTTCATATGATTTGAGATTTCAAAATAAATAATGACTAAAAGTGAATCAGATCTGTTGTATTAAGCACTGTTTTGATTTCAAACTACATCTTTCTCTCACAAAATTCTAATATGGTCTCTTAGGTAATGTTACAAAAACCTGGTGTTAAATAAAGAACTAGGTGCTCAGTAAACAATAAACCATGACCTTAGGATGAGTCATCTTCTATGTTTTAAATAAATATTTTAATATACTTCTATATGTATGAACATCTAAAGCATTACATATAATTTTTATAGGTAGTTTAATGGAAGAGACAGTAACTTAGTTATCATACCTGTGGACACAGTGTTTCCAGGTGATTGGCTGCGACTTTGACAATTTTAATCCCATCTTCATTTGTTGACATGGAACAAGCAAGATTTGCCACCTTAAATACAATCCAAAATAATGGAAATCATTTCACATTATCAAGGAAATGCAGAAACATATGTTATCCTAGACAAATAAGAACATGTATACATTCGTTGAAAATCTCAGTAATAAACAACAGTATTTTCATAAATGTTACTGGTATATGCTCTATGGAAGCATTCAGAGAATCTATTACATAATAACAAAGGGCCATAGAAAATTGTTTGAAACCAAAAGGAACATTGATAAGCGAAATAGTAAGTTCTACCTGAGACCTCTTGGTATCAACATCTAACGCATAATAAGATGCTAACTGCTATGGTTTCCTAGGGGTCTAAAAAAAATAGTTTATCTATGGATTGAATGCAAATAGATTCTTGGAATCTCATATGATTGTGGTTTATTTTAAGTCTGTAATCAGTTTATTATTTCCCACAGGTCTATTATGCATACTTAAGTTGCATTAAGCATGACTGTATCTTTATTCATGTTTTATTCCGCATCAAATGTACTACAAAGCTGGACAAATACAAGATAATTAAATTCTTCTTCCTGTTCTTGATTTCCTACTACAACTTCATGGGCACTATTTAACATTCTGGGAGTCACTTTGATTCAAGCCTTAGTAATACCCACATTCCTTTACACAAGATTGCTTTTGGAGCTTACACTCTTTTCTAGAGAAATGGGTGCCCTTTTAAATAATTACCTTCATGGCCATTATCTAAGTCCACTATTCACAAATACTTTCTTTATACCATGAAAGAGCCATGAGAAATATCATGGAATTCCTTTCTTTTCCTTTGAATGTCACTCTTACTCAGCATTCTCCTGGCTGGCAGGTGAGTGTTTGTGTACAGAGCAGTGTTTTCTTTGATCTACAAAATATGTCACTGTCTCTTCATCTCTTTGCAGTGATGACTTTTCTAATAACCATTTACTTATGTCTGTTAGCTATTATATATTTTAGCACACGGCAGATTTCACTGATGAAATCCAAAATCTATTCACTTGCAATGGAAGCAAACAACAAACAAATCCTTGGATCATTATTTGCAGAGTACCACAAAGTGTTACATGGATTAAAAGCCTTTGCTTTTTTTATAGGCTTATTTTTAATATGTCAATAGTGAAGCAACTCTTTGGTTAGCATTTACATATAATGAAATAACAGCCATACATTACTGAACTATGGAAGGACATTGTTCACTTTATTAATGTACATAGAAATGGCTTACTTTAAAAGGTCTGTTGTGGGCTTGAAGGTCACAATGCCTCAACTTTCATATCTGACATATAATTAGCACATTTATGAATTATTTGAAAAGGGCAGTAGTCTCCATGCCCCCTCCCCTACTCCAAAAGCCCCACTCACAGAAATAAGACATAGCAGTCTAATTGCTTTAATGTCTTATAATAATTTGCACTGCACTTGCAGAAAATATCTACCTATAATTTTGAGCGCTCTTTAAGTATCAGTTAAAAATTACTGGCTCAATCTTTTGGTCACATCTGATGCATGGGGGTTTATCCAAAGTTTAAAAATTACAGAAAGGTACTCCATATGGACACTCCCTTACTTGATTTATTTTTAATGTGCCATCTTTCTCTTTTTCTTCCCTTTAAAAACACATTCTTGTTCTAGACATTTGCTGGCCACCATGATTACTGCAGCCAATTCAGTGACTAATGTAACATGGAAATCATCCTAAACACAAAGTTTCTGTTTATATTAGCAGACAAGTTTTCAAACACTGTCAATTGAAAATACAACAAAACTAAAAGTTCTCTACTCAATTAATTATTATACTAACACTCTTTCTGTCTTCCATTATTCAGACATACTCGAACTTCTCCTTACTAGAACAGTTCTATGTCAAGTAAACTTTGTAGACAATCAAGTACTATTTCCAGATTAAGGCATGTGGAGTTTTAATATTTTTTACAAACAAATTTGTATAGGATGGCTAGTATTCTGTGACAAAACAGAAACAGTTATATGATAGAAATACAGTATCTACATTTCTAATTTGAGTGATTTTTGACTTATTTTCTAAGTCATATCAATGTGCAAAAAGGCAAATTTCTTCTAACAATATTTGAGTTCTCTGTGGCAATTATGGCAGTCAAGTATATTCTCAGGCACAGGATGAAGGCAACTCTACTGGTCAAAGAAAGAACCATGCAGATAAAATGTTTTGTCAAATAGTTTGAGATATTTGGAGATCTGACATCCTTTATATATCTAACTTTGACAATGTTTCAAAAGTCTGTGTAAAATTTCATTACTCAAGAGATCCTTGTGAAAGATTTCTGCCTGCTAAGGAAAATTGTTCATAGCGAGGTTTTAGAGACAAACAGATCTGGGTTTGAACCTGATTCCCACTATTAATAAGCTTCCTGATGATGAGCAAAATGTTAACTTCTCTGAGACCATTGTGTCACCTATAAAATGGGTATGACAGTACCTACCTCACTGGAGTGCTCTGAGGATTAAATAAGATAGTGTGTGGAGATGGTCTGATCCCAGGTAGCCCTGACCTTGTATTAATTTCCTTCCAGCTCATTTCTGTCTCTACTAATGAGCACAAGGAAAGAACATTCACCCTCTCAAGAGGTTTTACAAAATTAAAATCTTAGGGGCCTAAAGAAATTTGACAAAATGTTTAATCAAAGAGCCACAAATTCAAATGTTTTCAGGATTTATGCAGGGAATACAAACACGGAGTCTGGATGTAACTCTGGTTGGGGTGGGTTGGTGAGTCTGCAGGCAAACATGACTGCATACGCCCAGCCTCTAGGTACTAGAACTCATTAAAACAAGATGAAATATAAGGAAAAATCCACTGCCTTGACCAACCTAACAGTCCATTGGCTTACTTTAGTTCACAGTTCACCAGTTTGTGACCTCTGGCCCCATTCTTCAATCCTCTATTGTATAGATAAGAAAACAAAGCCAAATAAAGGGAAGAAACATACTCAAACAATTCAGTAACAGAGAGACTATTAACCAGGGCTGTATGTGTGCTATGTATGCAGTCCTGAATTAAAGTAATGAAAAGTTTCCTGCATTGAAATGCTTGACCAGATTTTTTATTGATATTGTGCTATATCCTTAGCCAAGACTAACAAAATCAGAGTCTAAATTATCCTAAATAAATGGGATCAAAACACTCAGATAAATTCATTAAAAATAAAAGGTCAGGACATGATGTTCTTTTACTTTTATAGAAGATTAAACTATATTATTAAAATCATTGTTGATACTATATGTAATAATTGCAAAAAACAAGTTAAAAATCTTTAAACAGAGACTTGTCATATTACTTGGTGGGGAGTGACTTTTTTTTACATCAGCACTTCCCTTGTGAGCCTCTTTCCTTCTCACAGGTCCTTCTGCCCTCTAAGATATGCGTCTCATTCTAAATGATTTAAACTTGAATTTACTGCCCTTTCAGATCTGTTTAAAAAAAAAACACTTGTAGACAACAAAGCCTGGCCAGACAATTCTTGAATTAATTCACATTTATTATCATCCTGATGGTGTTTGTTCTCCTCTCTCTGGTTCCTAGTTCAAGTTCTTTAAACCAGCTTTGAATATCCCTGCCATCTTTTCTATTTGCTGGACTTTGGTCCCTCCCTTTTACCTCACTCCCTAACTCATATTCTTAAGTGAGAAATTCCCTGCTTTGGATCTTGACCACATAAAATCCTGCCAGCTAGGCAAGTTCTCTCCCTCACTTTTCACCAAGATCAGGGAGATGGCCATACTTGACCCAAAAGAATGTCTCACTAATGGTGGCGCCAAAGAAAGCTATAAAAAAAGATATAACCCTCCTACACTGTTGGCCGGAATGTAGTTTGGTACAGCCATTATGCAAAGTGGTATAGAGATTTTTCAAAAAAACTAAAAATAGACTTACACTATGATCTAGCAATCCCAATCCTGGGCATATATCTGGAGGGAACTCTAATTCAAAAAGATGCATGCACCCCAATGTTCACAGCAGCACTATTTACAGTAGCCTAAATGGAAACAACCTAAATGTCCATCAACAGATGACTGGATAAAGAAGTTGGTGATAATATTTATACAGTGGAATACTACTCAGCTATAAAATAGAGTAAAATAACACCATTTACATCAACATGGATGGACCTGGAGATTGTCATTTTAAGTGAAGTAAGCCACAAAGAGAAAGAATAATACCATATGATATCACTCATATGTAAAATAAAAAAAAAGAGACAAATGAACTTATTTACAAAATAGACTCACAGACATAGAAAAACAAATTTATGGTTACCAGAGGGGAAGGGGTAGAAGGAATAAATCAGGAGTTTGAGATTTGCAGATACTAACTACTATATATAAATATATTTTATATACTAAATACTATAGAAAATGGATAAACAAACAAACAAACAAAAGAGATATTTGGGGAGTGGGGATATTCTCAATGACCTTTAAATCAATCTACCATGCTATATAGGCTTAACTCTGCTTTTTATTATTACTCTGCTCTGAAATGGTAAAGAGATTGCATGTTTAAAGTACTGAAAACCAAAGCATGCTGCATTTTCACATTCTAATACCAAGTTTTATTTGAAATCTCCAGAGCACTAGTTGTCCTTTCAGTCATCTTAGACAACTGAAATGGAATCTTTGCGAGGAACGAGCTAACTAGTTGGACAGCTGCTCATTATAAATCATTCAGTCTATCACTAAGGAGTTCTCACACAGATATTTACCTGTGATGTGATTTCTCAAGAACATGGGAGTAAACTTTAG